TGTTAGCATCTGTTAGCACATAGTCTCTGTTAGCATCTGTTAGCACGTAGTCTGTGTTAGCATCTGTTAGCACGTAGTCTGTGTTAGCATCTGTTAGCACGTAGTCTGTATTAGCATCTGTTAGCACGTAGTCTGTGTTAGCATCTGTTAGCACGTAGTCTGTGTTAGCATCTGTTAGCACGTATTCTCTGTTAGCATCTGTTAGCACGTAGTCTCTGTTAGCACGTAGTCTGTGTTAACATCTGTTGGCACGTAGTCTCTGTTAGCACGTAGTCTGTGTTAGCATCTCTTCGCACGTAGTCTCTGTTAGCATCTGTTAGCACGTAGTCTCTGTTGGCATGTAGTCTCTGTTAGCATGTAGTCTGTGTTAGCATCTGTTAGCACCTAGTCTGTGTTAGCATCTGTTAGCACGTAGTCTCTGTTAGCACGTAGTCTGTGTTAGCATCTCTTAGCACGTAGTCTCTGTTAGCATCTGTTAGCACGTAGTCTCTGTTAGCATCTCTTAGCACGTAGTCTCTGTTAGCATCTGTTAGCACGTAGTCTCTGTTGGCATGTAGTCTCTGTTAGCATCTGTTAGCACGTAGTCTGTGTTAGCATGTAGTCTCTGTTAGCATGTAGTCTGTGTTGGCATCTGTTAGCACCTAGTCTGTGTTAGCATCTGTTAGCACGTAGTCTCTGTTAGCATGTAGTCTCTGTTAGCGTGTAGTCTGTGTTGGCATCTGTTAGCACGTAGTCTGTGTTAGCATCTGTTAGCACGTAGTCTCTGTTAGCATCTGTTAGCATGTGATTTTGCAGGTCTTCTCAGCTCTGGTTGGTAACCCGTGTGTTGTGTTCAGTCCCGCAGCCTGCTGCAGGACTTCATCCAGTACATTGAGGTGAGACTGACTCCAGGGATGGAACTTCATGGATCTTGTTCTGGACTGGTTTGAAGTGTTTTCAAAGTGGAGACAGGCCGAGTGCTGTGGGATCATTAATGAGTGTCAGCTGTTGACCCGGTCCAGTCTCATCTGTATTTCTTCAGAACCCGTCCTTTAAAACATGTCCTCTAGTCTAAAGCCCAGATGTTTCTGAGGAACAGTTTCCTGGAGAGTTTTAGAAACACAAGAAACTGAACTTTCTTCTCCATGTCCGGTCCAACCAGAACTTTAACGGGTGTCCTCTGTCTGCAGAGCTCTAAGGTGGTTCTCCTGGAGGACCTGGCATCTCACTTCGGGATGAGAACACAAGATGCCATCTCCAGACTGCAGGACCTGTTGGCTGAAGGCACCCTCACAGGTAAACCAGGTCCAACTGGTCTTCGTTAGAACCTTCAGTGAATTTCTGTGGTGTTAAAAAGTGATTCCAGCTCCTGATCCATTGAGGGTCAGAGACCTAGAACCTGTTCCACCATGTCTGCTAAAGACCAGCTGCTTGTCTTATGTCCACAACTGAGAGTGTGGACTTCCCAGAACCTGTCCGTCAGGTGTCTTTCAGAACCGTGTGTCGGTCTGCTGCTGCAGGTGTGATTGACGACAGAGGGAAGTTCATCTTCATCACTCCAGAGGAGCTGGACTCGGTGGCCCGCTTCATCAAACAGAGGGGGCGGGTGTCCATCACAGAACTGGCCCAGGCCAGCAACTCCCTGATCAACCTGGTTCCTGAGAGCCGCAGCGCCGCCTGAAGGAGCCACGATACACCGGACCTTTGGATCCAGAACCAGTGGGTCGTGAAGAATCAGCCGATAAATCTCTTCTGTGGAGAACACAAACATTTGGCTGATAAAAGTTGGACTTTGATTCTGCGTGCTCTTGTCTTTTGTGCTGTTTTAGCTGCTCGTTTAGTCAAACGTTCGGCTCATTGTGGGTTCAGTACCGTCAAGAGTTTTAGTCTTTATTTATAAAAGCTGTCGTCTCTTCACTTCCTTCTGTTTGGAATCTGCTTCGGCTGCTTGATGCATTTCTCTTTTTATGCGACTTGTAGCTTTTAGCTAGCCTTTTGCCACTTTTAGCTAGCATTTACTGCTGTTAGATTCTGCCTACTGGCCCTGTAAACGTGGGCCAGAACCCCCGTCCTGCAGAGACGGGTCACTCTTGTGTGACACGCGCGCCAGCTGGAGCAGATAAAGAGGACCCGACCCCTCCCTGACCCGCTGAAGACCTGAACAGGGCTTACCCAAGACCAAATCCAGGTCGACCTGTTGAGGCTGGTCATGGAGTCGGAGCGAGCTGGAACCAGAACCTGCACCAAGCCGTGAGTCCAAGTGGCCTGGGAAGGAAAGGGTTCATCGTGGACGGGCCGCAAGTCTCCTACGAAGCTCAGCAGAGGTTCCCAACACCCCCACCTGAGAGCGAGCTGGAAGGACGACAGTGACTCATGACCCAAGAAACGATGCATGGAGATCCATTTCAGTTTATCTCTGCAGGAGCTGGTCATAAACTTAGAATATCGTGAAAAAGTTGATTTATTTCAGTAATTCCATTAAAAAGTGAAAAGTGAAAGGTTCAACATTGAAGACACCTGGTGCCACACTCTGATCAGCTGATTACCTCAAAACACCTTTAAATGGTCTCAGTCTAGTTCTGTAGCTACACAATCATGGGGAAGACTGCTGACTTGACACTTGTCCAAAAGACAACCACTGACACCTGCACAAGGAGGACAAGACACATGAGGTCATTGCTACAGAGGCTGGCTGTTCATAGAGCTCTGTGTCCAAGCACATTAATAGAGAGGTGAAGGGAAGGAAATGATGTGATAGAAAAAAGTGTACAAGCAGTAGAGATAACTGCACCCTGGAGAGGATGGTGAAACAAAACCCAGTCCAAAATGTGGGGGAGATTCACAAAGAGTGGACTGCAGCTGGAGTCAGTGCTTCAAGAACCACCACGCATGGACGTATGCAAGACGTGGGTTTCAGCTGTCGCATTCCTTGTGTCAAGCCACGCTTCAACAAGAGACAGTGTCAGAAGCGTCTCACCTGGACGAAAGACAAAAAGGACTGGACTGTTGCTGAGTAGTCCAAAGTTATGTCCTCTGATGAAAGTACATGTTGCATTTCCTTTGGAAATCAAGGTCCCAGAGTCTGGAGGAAGAGGAGAGGCACAGAATCCATGTTGCTTGAGGTCCAGAGTCAAGTTTCCACAGTCAGTGATGGTTTGGTGCCATGACATCTGCTGGTGTTGGTCCACTGTGTTTTCTGAGGTCCAAGGTCAACGCAGCATCTACCAGGAAGTTTTAGAGACTTCCTGCTGCTGACCAACTTTATGGAGATGCACATTTCATTTTCAACTGGACTTGGCACCTGCACACACACAAAAATCTGTATGTCTCTTATGATTATCTACTGTTGTCATCGTCACCATTCTTTGTTAAATCAGGTCTCTCTTGTAAATGAGTCCTCGAGGCTCAATGGGATTTACCTGTAGAAATAAAGGTTGAATGAAAAGAACTGGTTTGACCGTAACCCCATAGAAAACCTGAGATACTGTGAAGAGGAAGATGTGATACACCAGGTCCAACAGTTCAGAAGAGCTGAAGGCCACGATCAGAGCAACCTGGACTCAGAACACCTGAGCAGAGACACAGACTGATCCACTCCATGCCACGATGCATCGCTGCAGTAATCCAGACAAAAGGAGCAACAACATGTGAACATGCTCACACTTTTCTTTTTTTATTGAGAAAGCCAGTTACATTACAATGATCTAATTATATTGATTTCCTTCTCATGTTCCATTCTCAGTTTTCTCACTTTTTCTTTGCCAGAAAAAAAAACAACGTACACAAAACAAACAACAACACAAAACAACGTACACAAAACAAACAACAACACAAAACAACGTACACAAAACAAACAACAACACAAAACAACAAAGTAAAACCAACCAGAACTAACGTGGGAGTGGCGGGGGAGCCTGAATACCAACTAATCATCGACCTCACATCAAATCCAAACATCGATCTGAATGACAGCAAGGTTTACAAAAAATCAGACAACAGGTTTGACATATTCTGTCCACTTAGTCCATGTCTCGTAGAAGGTGTCCCTCTGCACATTAATGGAAAAAGACAGTTTCTCAATACATAAATCTCTTTCACTACATTAATCCAGTCTTCAGGTGTTGGAGGTTCCTGTTTAAACCATTTTCTTGTGAGGGCCTTTTTGCTCCCCGCCAGCAAAATGAACAGAAGTTTTTGATCGTTATAATTAAGTTTGTTGACCGGTATGTTACAGAAAAATATGCATTCAAAGGTTAAAGGAAAGTGAAATGTGAAAATGTTCTGTAAATGTTCATGGATTTGAGACCAATATTGCTGAATGGTTTGGCAGTCCCAGAAAATATGGAAATGATTGGCACCATTCCTGCCACATCTCCAGCAGGCATCGCCCCTTCCCTCATATCGTTTCTGCTCTGGGGTTATGAAAAATAATAATAATGCTTTTCCAGCAAAATTCATGCCAAACCTTTGATCTTGTTGTTGTCCATAGTATCTTACAGATGTGGTCCCAGTCCTCTTCTGGACTCGTCAGGCTGCTTCTTTTTCCCACTTCACTTTAACATAAACGGTGCTGTCCTTCTTACACCGCAGGATGGCGTTGGATAACCTGGAAATACTTTTGCCTGTTTTTGGTTTGGATAATAATATAAATGTTTCCACAAATCTCAAATTATGTAACTGTACTTTTAGATTTTGATTAAAAAAATTTCTGACCTGTAGATATCTGAAAAAGTCGTCTGCGTATAAATGGTATTTTCTTTTCAAGGTCTCAAAACACTGGAACGTCCCTTATGGACAAAGGAATAGTGACTAGTTCTTGAATCTATCATCATGTTGATTTGGGATGAACTCTGAATCGTAAGCGTACCATCGTAGAACTTCAGAGCATTTTCTAATCCACATGTTTTAATTGCTTCGGTCCAAGCAGATATCATTACTTGCTATACTGGTTCATCTGCCAAATTAATTTTGCTCTGCAATTTTGTGTCAATGTTCACACTTTTCATGTTCGTACTTTTCATGTTCGTACTTTTCATGTTCGTACTTTTCATGTTCGTACTTTTCATGTTCGTACTTTTCATGTTCGTACTTTTCATTTGACCAACATTTCTAAAAAAAAAATTTTAATTGGTCTTAAGTAATGTTCTAATTTTCTGAGATACTGAATTTGTGGTTTTCATTAGTTGGCAGTTCTAATCATCAACATTAAAAGAAATAAACATTTAAAATATATCAATCCGTGTGTAATGAATGAATATAATATAATATGCAAGTTTCACTTTTTGAATGGAATTACTGAAATAAATCAACTTTCTCATGATATTCTTATTTTATGACCAGCACCCTATAACTCCAAGTTCCAACATGCGTCATGTCAGGTCACTGAACAGAAATATTCAGACTTTATAAAAGTCAATTATTAAAGTTCAGTATCTGAGGAAGCAGCAGGTTGTGTTGAATCTTCACATCATCACAGTCTCTCACCCTGAACAAGAACATTCATTCAACTTTATTTCTACAGGTAAATCCCATTGAGCCTCGAGGACTCATTTACAACAGAGACCTGATTTCAACAAAGAAAGATGACAACAATGACAACAATAAACAATTATAAAAAGTAAAAAAAATATATATTTTTTAAACAGATAGGATGGCTAAAAAAAAGAAAAGTAACAAAAAACAGCTAGATTCCAAGACAAATGTAGAAACTAAAAACAGGAACATGTCTGCATTGGTCCCTGCCAGGAGTCCAACAGATTCTTAAAGACAGAGAGGTCAAAGGTCGAGAGCTTCAGATCTTTTTACAAGATATTCCAGGAAACAGGAGCGGAGTAGGAGAAGGTCCTTTTGTCTAGTTCAGTCCTCACTGAGGGAACACTGCAGGTAATAATGTCCTGAGAGCGCACGCTGTAGCTGCACTCACACAGAGACATGTAGGAGGAGATGTATGAAGGCAGCAGACCAAGAAGAGATTTAAAGATGAAAATGTACCAGTGAGAGAGTCTGTGTGAAGTTAATGATGTCCAGTTAACCAGTGAATACTGGGTGCAGTGGTGGGTACGATAATCACAGCCAGTTATGAATCTTAGAAAAAATGAGACGGTGGAAAGAAAAAACTCCTTTCAACAGGAAGAAACCTCCGGAAGAACCAGGCTCAGGACGAGTGTCCATCTGGTTCCATCAGATGGTTTGAGAGGACAGGAAGTAGAAACGGACACAGAATGACAGGTCCAGCTGTACTTTCTATAGTCCAGCTGTACTTTCTATAGTTCAGCTGTACTTTCTATAGTCCAGCTGTGCTTTCTATAGTCCAGCTGTGCTTTCTATAGTCCAGCCGTACTTTCTATAGTCCAGCTGTACTTTCTATAGTCCAGCTATACTTTCTATAGACCAGCTGTACTTTCTATAG